ATGGCTGACTACCGATCACCATATATTGTCAGGGAGATCAGGGATGGTGAAGCCGAGAAAATCAGACTCATGACGGAACTTAGCGGACTCGAACCTGGCGATGATCCGGGTCCAGACATCGTTGGCTTAACTATTGGTGGTACCCATTCTTTTTTCATTCTTCTGGACTGCAGAAATGGAACCATTTACACCGATGGTTGGTTTAGTGGTGGGTTTGATCCTTCGCCCTTCAATAGGCCACCTGTCGAGGATTATTTCGAAGCAATAAAGGAAAAGTACAGATCAATGAGACACTTACTGTGCAATGACGGTGCGATACGAGAGGGGGGCGACGAGGACGATGAAATGATACTATTGAGGGAAATCTATGCCAAGTACGGATGGCCGAACAATTTTCGCAAGGAAGAATGTGCTGCGGCTGTGAAGGCGCTCGATGAAGCTTCGTGAAGGATGAATATCTGCAACGCTTTGCTGTGCAGATGGATGCAAGGCAACTTCTTGTCGCCCTGTTGGCGAGTTGATACCCAGAGCTATGCAAGTTGCATGAAAGTATGATGACTTTCTCAGGTCAAGCAACTCAAGGGCGCTCTTGTATGCTTGCAGCTTAACTTCCTGTGTACTGTATGCTTGAACTTCTTCATAAGAAATATCTTCCCGAATCTCCTTGAGTCTCAGCTACCCCAGAAAGGGGATCGGCACCAGCTCGCTTCTATGCGTGGCACAAAACCATACGCTACCACTAACTCACGCGGTAGCATAGCTTCAGGTGCACCCCAGTGACAGCAGAAGAGAATGAAGCACTATCGCGGCTTGGCTTGCCATGCATGGTAGTATTTGTACGACTTAGCGGTCATTGCAGCGGGTATAGGTCGTGCAAAAACATTGTCCCGGAAGGTGCTGGGTCCTGCGGCAGTGGTGGAAATGTCGATGGTTGACCAGACCTTTTTGAATGCACGAGTTCTCACTGAAACCCATATCAAGTGGTTGACTAGTGCCCCAAGCCGAAGAATTTTGAGTCTGCGTTTTAAACAATGCCAACGTTACGTGTGCTGCATACTGGAGAAACTTGGAGGTCTTACATAAGTATTGTCCTAAGCAAATACAGCCAGGCTGCAAGGCATCAGAGATCTTGGCGCAAATCATCCCACGAAGCCTTGCTGAATTCCTGTGTCGCAAACAGCGAGAGTGCAGATACAGGTCAATCAGCCCGGATTATATACCGCCAACATGTCCACACAATCGAACGTCTCCGATGACCTCCTCTGGGAGATAGTCCGTACGCAATGATAACGCCTCCTCGATCAAACCAGACATACTAATTCCAAGCAGGATCGAGAAATGCCTACCTTGTGTCACGCAAGACAGGTGGCGGCGCCTACTTCTCCCGCGATCCCTTCAATCTCGCCAACAAGCACAGCCGAACTCACGCGGGGTTCGTAAACAGCAAGGCCGTATCTGTCCAGCCATCTGGCGAGAAGGGCGTGACGCTACAGACGAAGAAGGAGGGCAAGGGCAACACACCTGCTAAGGGTCTGAACTCGCACAAGTTCAAGAGTGGAAGGTCGAACCAGAAGTACGTCCACCGAGGAAGTGGTAGGGGGGTTGTGGTACGGGACGTGGGCTAACGAGACACAGGGTTTACAAGGCTGTTGCAGATAGTGTTGGCAAGAACGGATACCGAGGCGACCTCAATGAGAGTGCTGTTCAAAGAGCATCCGCCATTCTCGACTCGCAGAGACCAAAACGAGATGCGCCAGTGAAGAAGCCGAGAGGCTTGAAGGGAAGCAAAGAGGAGGCATGAATCAGCAACTAGACATGAAGACGATGGTGTCTGATACCTGAATGCGCACGAATCGTTGTGGCCACAAGCATTATGCTTCAAGGAAATGGCCAGCCGTAGTGCTAGTGCTTCGTGGAAGGCGGTAGTGAGATGGCCCATGATGCAAGCACTTCCGCACATGGCTTTACAGAACAAGCGGAGATGGCAAGCACTTCCAGCGGAATTGTGCTGAATCAACTGGCTGAGCAAGTACAAAATACAAGTCGAACAAATACAACCATCCTGTTCTAGTCCATGAATCTCTTTGTCGAGACGATGATGGGTTTCTCATTTTACCCTTCTGGTGGAACGGGGCGTCTGCTCAGAACTGACAAGTTATTCCAGGCCACCTATTCACTACGAGCACATCACGACCTATCTCCCGGTTGTCGTACCGAATTGAGTACCTCTTGACATTCTCATCTATCAAAAAGCTGGCGCCTCAGGACTTTGTCGAAGCACAGTATTACAGGCACACTTGTGCGCTACAGGCCTGAAGCAAGTGTCCGACTCTTGAACGGACACTTTCCAGATGACGACCATAAGGACTTACAGTCGAGCTCGTCCCCATAATCCACCGTACATCACCAATTCTTTCCAATGGTTCATGCTCCGAGCTCTACAAGTCTGGAGACGCTGGAATGCTGTGTTCATGGGCATATATGGCAGCTTCTCAAGCTTCTCAGAACGGTGTGCACTGGCTTAATGGAGTACGATCCGATGGAGAATTGACTGTCTAATGGGAAACTATGAGACGCTTTGGAGTGATATCTTGCCCGAGGTAGGCATGCTCATAGGATATCGCCAGCAGATTGACAAAGAAATCGCACCAAAACACACGACCCAACGCTCGAATGTGACAACGTCAATGAAGCCGATGTTTCACGTGCAAGACCGTGTATTCCTGCAATCAAAACAATTTTCATGACCTGGGGGCTATGGCAAATTTCCGTTCACAATTTATGCCTCTTCTCCCCACTAGCCAGCTTCCTGAACTCCTCCTGCGGTACCCCCCTTACGAACACTTCCATCCCTGCCATAACCTCCCTGACACCCTGTGCCTCCAACGCCTCGTTATAAGGTGCTCTCACCAACTTCTTGATGCCCAACAAACTATCCCTGTTCAGATGGCTCCCAAGCTTGTCATCCAGTTCCTCCAGCACCTTCTTAAGGAACCCATCAGAGTCCTTCTCATCAGCACCCTTAAACGTCTTATTCACAAACCCACAGTGCACAAGCTTCTCGATAGGAATCTTACGAGACATCATAAGCGCTTCATTCGCCGTACTAATCCCCATCCGCTGAACAAGGCCATAAGAAGCACCGCCCTCAGCCACGAGACCAAGCGACGAGAACGGCGTAAGGAAGTAGGCATGCGGCGCCGCATATATGAAGTCCGCAAACCCAAGCAGCGCAGCACTAATTCCCACAGCCGGCCCGTTGAGCGCCGCGACTAGAATCTTCGGGTGCTGGTAGAACGACCTCGTGATATCGAGGTTCTGCGCTACGAAGCCGGACATGATGTCGCGGCGGATGGCATCTGCTTCGGAGCCACTGGTCTTCGTGGGGTCTGCGGCTGGTCTGGCGGATCCGACGTCTGCGCCGGCGGAGAAGAAGCGGCCTGTGCCTGTTAGGACGGTGATTGTTATGTCGTCGCGTTGAGCGACCTCGCGCATGAGGCAGGAGAGGCGGTAGTAGTGGGGGCCTGTCAGGGCGTTGAGTTTCTTGGGACGGTTGAATGTTATGATGGCGAGAGGGGCTTTGTATTGGAGGGTCACTTCATTTTGGAGTTCCTGTTGATTTGCCATGTTGAAGGTTGATCGGTTGGTCGGTTAAGGATTCAAGATAAATGGATTGCGTGTCTGGTCGTATACAGTTTTTGGAATGTGATATCTCTGCTTAACCAATGGCTGAGATGTAGGAGCACGAGGAGATAAGCTGCTGAAGAAGATTGACGGGATCTGTTCCTTACGTACGGTAGCTCAGCTCGTTCCAAATATTTCGAGGTCCTGATGATTGAGCCCCAGGCTTTCTCGCGGTTCTCGCGGAGAGAACATTGCATCTTGCCTCGGCAACTTGAGCTCATCAGTGGATTTACACATTGTTCACCGACTGGGTGCTGTAGACCCTGGACCTTTCATGCCTGAGGCCACCACAATTTCGTGGCGATCACCAAGTCCGCATGCTGGTGAAAGTGACTGCAGCAATGAGTCCTGTTCGAGACTGACATATCTTACGACGATCGCGATCGGGGCCAACGTTTGCTAGGGAAAGACTCGATCAGGTCCAGTCTACTGTATAAAGAGCAGCTGCACCTCTATTCCTTCTTAGCCTCTTTACACGACACCAGCAAAGATGTCCCAGATGATCAATTCCATCAACCGCATGCTACGGCCTCTGCGCGGCGCAAATCTCGAAGTGTTCAAGGTCAGCTATCCATTGCGCCTGCTACCACGCCAGCACTACTGACGTTCCCTAGTTTGGGATGTACCTTATGTTTCCAATAGGCTGGATGTACTACTTTGGCACGAACCTCGAGAACAGATTCAGCGTGAAGGACTTCTGGCCGACACAGGAGCAGTCGCATAAGATACCGTATGAGAAGGAGGAGATCAAGGCTGAGATTGAGAGGATGCAGAGGGAGATGAGACGGAGGAAAGAGAGGGATACGGCATTGATGCAAGCAAGAGAGGCTTTCAAGCAGCCGAAGGATGAAGCTGCTGTGGAATCGGTCCCACAGGTCTCGGTACCAGCGAGTTAATGAGGTGGAGGTGTGAAAGCATGAGATGGCGAGATATAGACTGTATACCACGTTACGAATGATGTACAACATGCAACGAAAGACTCCCGGTCGAAACTCCGTCAACGAGCTGCTTGAATTTTCATACTGGATGATAGACAGGTTCCGTCAGTGCTGGCGAAATTGCTTGCAGCGCAGACAAACATAACTGCTTTCGACATATGCCCAGTACCGCTCGCCAGTCTGATGGTGCAGACTGGGACCCGAAGATCCTTGCGTGAGGAGGATGCGTTACTCGCTCTTGGTGGTTTCCCTCTATACTGTTTCTCAACCAATGCCCGCCAACGCCATGCTAATCGATAACCACAATACAGATTACCCAAAGCCTGATCGATGATTTCTAGCCAATCATAACTCCTCCCTAATAGCTTCCGCAACCTGTCCCGCCCGTCCCATCGTCTCCTTCGCAATGACCGAGCTAGCGGTCTGACTGACCACCACCTCCTTCGTCGCCTTCAGCGCATCCGTAATGCTATCCATGATGGACATGCCGCTGCCATTATTCTGCGTGAATTCTCCAGAGATGTAGTACCACACTCGTGTGTATATTATGTACATGTGCGCAGGAAGGTAGAGGTATGCTGCAGTGACGAGGAGGGATATCAGGATGAACAGGATCGAATCTGTACGTTATCAGCATGCGCGACGCAACGGTGCTGTGCAGCAGAGGACAGGATAGGCATACTGAAGACAATTTTCTCGGTGTATGTCAGCATGTAAAGCGAGAACGTGACTTCGTATTGGTAATTCTTTAGCTGTAGCCATCGGATGAGCGAGGTGATGGGTGAGACCCGATGTCGCTCGTCGCGTGGCATTCTTGCGTCTGCCATGTTTGTTCGTGGGCGCGAAATTTGTGCAAGTCTGGAGGTGTGACCAAGGTGACCTATGCCTCTGTGCTTAAGATTATATCAGTGCTACGCATGAGTGATTGTGCTCTACATGTCGTATTTTTGGAGACGAATTCGAGATCTTCAGGCACCAAATCTCCGCGAAAGGGGCGCCCATCCCTGTCGATTCGGTCTCGACGCCAAACCTGCCACATCTGAAGTTGTGCTCCAGGCTGTTTTTCATGAACCAACTCTTCATTGTTCGACGATAATCATACAAATCTGGAGAGCTCAAGAACGTGTGTTCACACAACATCCAAATTTCTAGCACAGCTTTCCTACTGGACACATCCTGAGGCTGAAATGACGCATGACTTATCAGCAATGCGGTGTTAGCTTACTTGGGATATACCCTGGGTAGCTTCGTGTCAAACCCTTCCAAGAATGGCAAAAGTGAAATGCGGGTCAAGTCTGGCTTCCGCCAATCAAGAATAGTCATCATGCAGATGTGGTCTCTGCCAAATAACAGTGCTCTTCTGACCAAGCACGGGCGTCAAAATGGGTGGTCTTGCGATACAACCATGGGCAATGCTTCATTAGGAAGTCCGAATTTTGCTTGACATGAGGTCTGAGTGTCTCGGACAAAGTGATATCGAATCCACGTTCTGATGCCTGCATAAGTGGGAGTTCTACTGTGGCGCCCTGGTCCAGCCCTTGCTTTTCCTGTGATCCTTCGGTACTCCCGTCACTCAGTTCACCTTGCGTGCGAACCATCGTCTGACTGCGGGAAAGCTCTTCGGTCTCCTCCTCAGGCTGTTG